ATATATGCCAGCTTCTATATCGTTCAGTTCTTTTTCAAACTTCTTCTAACAAATATATTATTTTATTTTTATATTTATTTTCAAACTCGATGGATCTGAATCCATTTCTGCAGGGGTCCAAGTCCTGCCCCCAACCTATTTCTGATTGGCTAGTAGGCCTATCTTGTGTGTTTAAAATGAAAGCTGCGCCTCTGTTAGGTCCAGAGAAATGATTGTAACATTTTTGGTCAAACCCAATTTTTTTTTTTGTCTCCTAACAGCTGCGCTGGAGTGCTATCAGCCCTGAGTGGCATCTTTGAAATGCTTGTTAGCATTCTACTCTTCCAGATACCAAAAAACAAAATTGTTTTCAAAAGTCATTCACAAAGGCAGAATGTTTATAAGCTCCTCAAACACACGGTTCATCTTACCTGGGGTATGCTGATCCCTTTCCTAATCTGCTCTTGCTCCCAACGGCTCACCTCCTCATCGTGACCCGCATCCAGTGCTTCATCATCACTACCCTCGATGCCTGAGAAGAAATCAAAGGSAAGTCCACATCATACGGATAACTTACTAATTGCACTGTTAAAAAAAACAAACAAAAAAAAACTAATAAACATTGTTAAGGCAGTACCTATCTCCTCCGCTATTTTCTGCCTCTGAGTTTTGTTCTTGACCCCGCTGAAACGAATCCGCTTCTCTTCCTCGTCTTCGTCGTCGCTGCCGTCTCTGTCTTCCTGTCCCAGACGTTTGGTTTGAGGCTCCGGCTCCACCAGAGGCGCCTCACCTCCCAGTTCTCTGGCCAGCTGGCGACGCTTCCTGGCAGCATGGATAAACGCTGCATCTGGGATTTCTCCTGCAGCAGAGAGACACAGGTGTTTGTGCTAACAAAGAAACTCTCTCAGGAGTGAAGGGCATGCTTAATTAGACATAAGACTCTTAATTCTGTGATGAGCTTGGAGGTTTTATTTAAAAATGGTATGACAACCAAAGTCCTATTAGACGCTGAAGAAGTGCAGAATTTTTTTTACTAGTCATTCTCATCATTGACTGTTTATAGTCACTAAAAAAGGAGTTAATTTGGAAGTTTCTCAACAATACCTGGCCTCAAGCTGCCAAGGGAGGACAGTGTGCTGAAAGTGTTTCCCATGTTCTTGGCCTTCGATGCTTGACTCCGTGCAGCATCGTCTTGCTCATCCGCACTATCCACCTCCATTTCCTCCTCTCCCTGTTCACTGTTTGCTCTGCTGATTATTTCCTCTTTAATGGAAACCAGAGGCATAAATGAAGCATCTGACAAAAAAAAGTGCATACAATTAGTCGTTAGCAAGCAGAATGCTGATAATCTACATCCGAATATGTRAAGAAAAAACTAATTCAATTAAGTATCTGAAATTTAAAGCATCCAAAATAAATCTTTTCACTGTCATTTGTTCTCAAAAGCTAAACTTGGCAAGTTTCTGCAGACACGTTTTTACACCTCCTTAAAACGCTGACAATAAAATAAAGTGAGACAAACWACATGGATGTTTGGCGTTTTAACATTTTTGTTTAATATTGTGGAGTTTATAATAGTATCAGAATCTCATCAAGACTTATGCCAATTATTTTATCTGCCTTTGTTCCAAATTTCATTATGATATGAAAGCTCAAAGTATGTTATTATTTATTCATTTWTTTATTTATTTGCTACAGAATAGTCCGAGTAAGCAAAATCTGTTGATGCTCATCTTCAATACATTTCACATGCTTGAGGGGCTTTGTTCAAAAGTCCACAAATGGTATTCATTTTCTGGCTTCCCAAGAAACATCAAGTTTATTTGATGTTGCAGTTTGGTGACATGAGCCTCATCACACTATTTTATACCTTCACTGATACGTTTGCACTGGATTGAGTAATGTTTTTAGGATACAGCATGCTCCCTACAAAAGTCAGAATGTGAAACTTTTCCTAAAATTGCATGGTAATACATGAAGCAAGTTCTGAGCAAAAATAAATATGGCAAAATGGTCACGAAGGCTCTTTTGGTTCAGCTAGGAATYGCGGCAGAAACATCCACAACTTCCTTCATATTTGAGATTAATCACATGCTTTTGGTGTTATTTTTTTGGGGTGAGTTTAATGTTCTTTTTGAATCTACTGTCAGGTTTGAGCATTGGTGAGGGATAACAATTTTATCCACATCCCTAACATGTACCAAAGCTTTGTTAAAACCTTCCACACAGTTTAATATCCAAACTTTTGCTGTGTATAGTTAAAAATAATGTTTTACTGTCAAAGATCAAGTGTACGTTTGTGGTAAAAATTGTAGCTACATACTTAAATATTCCTGGAAGATACATCACTGATGTAAAAACTCACCTGTTTTGGTATCTTGTTTGACAGTTCCACATTTCTCCAAATCCTCCTTGTATTCTTTCTTCAGCTGTTTAACGATCTTCTTGCTATGATTGGGTTTCTTCACTCTGAACACCTCGGATCCCTCTGATGACGTAAGATGAAACATAAGGATGAAGATTGGGTGTAATTATGAATGGCCATGTGTATCACATGCAACTTTAGTCTGGGGGAGGAAAGAATGACTCCCAATAAAACAAAGGTGGTGTAAATATAGGAACACACAATATATTTAACACACAAAGTCTTATACGTAACAGCAACGTAAGTAAAACATGTTCTTGTTCAGCCTGCAGGTTAACCACYTAGCTTTAGCATCCTTACCTTCGTCATCGACAAAACTCAGCAAGCTGGCTTTCGTGGGTGGGAGGACAGGTGCAACTTGAACTTCTTTGATTTTCTTATCCTTCTTGACAGCTCTCAAGAAGCCATTGATGTGACTATTATCCACGCTGCCCGGTGGTCCGGCGGCGCTGGAAGTCTCCATGAACGGGATTTCCACMGCAGGCCCGAACGATGTGGGCGCCAGCGAGTGGCTCTCCCCGTGCTCCTCCTCATCGGAATCATTCCTCCGTCGAAAGTTTGCCCTTTTCGCCTTTTTGAACATTGTGTTTGCGCGTTAAAAGCAAAAACGCACAGTCAGCGGGAGAACTGCGTAAAACCTAGCTTAGAAAAGAAGCAAGCCGCAATGCGTGACAGCCATTTTCTTTTCAGAGAGAAAAATATAAGGCGGGGCAACGTGACGTCGGCACGATGCTGCCCCCTATTGGTCAAGAACTGCATAGACGCTCGAATAGAATAGAATGGAATAGAATAGAATAGAATAGAATAGAATAGAATAGAATAGAATAGAATAGAATAGAATAGAAGTAGGTTTAGACTTTTTTGTTAATCAGATCAAAGGATTTTGATATAATTCTCAAGGTTTACTGTTCAACAGAAATACAGATGTCATAAAATATAACACCRCTAGTGAAAACCTCCCTTTTTCACAATTAAAAATAAATAAATAAAAAAAGCATTCTCTAATTTCAGCTGACTATTTTCACTTATCTGATTAATCAGCAAATTACAAACACGTTGAACAAAATTTGCACAATAAGCGCAGAGAAAAGCACATCTCCATCCTGTTAATTTTACATTTTAGACTTCATCAACGGGCACTTCCTTTAATAAAWTGCCAGACATGTTGCTGTGTTTAGTCCAGATCATGATGCACAGCATAGTTGACGCCTCAGTAGTAATAATAGCGTCTAAAATTAAAGTGTCATCATTTAGCTGGAGTCAAAAATGATTAATTAACAACAAGATGACCTCTTGTCTGAGAGACGGTAATTGGCGATAAATATAGCAGTCTAGTTTTAATGCCTCAGTGCTCCATTCAGCTCCTTGTTTTTTTTAAGCACTTCTTAAGTGCAAATGCAATGACAGTTCTTGGTGTTGTGCTAGAATATTTTCTGACTACAAACCAAGCATAATGCTCAATACTTAAAGTAAATGTAAATAATGTAAAACATATTTCTGTTTGTCACATTTTCAAACTGGAACTAACATATTTAACTACATATCTATGTTCAAC